TGAGGGGACTGGAACATCTCTCCTATGAGGAGAGGCTGAGGGAGCTGGGCTTGTTCAGCCTGAAGAAGAGAAGGCTGCGAGGGGACCTAATAAATGCTTATAAATATCTGAAGGGTGGGTGTCAGGAGGATGGGGCCAAGCTCTTTTCAGTGGTGCCCAGTGACAGGACAAGGGGCAATGGGCACAAAATGAAGCAGAGGAAGTTCTGTGTGAACATGAGGAAGAACTTCTTCCCTCTGAGGGTGACGGAGCCCTGGAACAGGCTGCCCAGGGAGGTTGTGGAGTCTCCTTCTCTGGAGATATTCAAGACCCGCCTGGACAAGGTCCTCTACAGCCTACTGTAGGTGACCCTGCTTTGGCAGGAGGGTTGGACTAGATGACCCACAGAGGTCCCTTCCAACCCCAAACATTCTATGATTCTGTGTCTCCTGAACAGCCTCTGCTCTTCTCTAGCCAGGGCAGGCACTTAAAAAGTGGCCCCAACAAGCACTTTCCTTTCGGAACTCACCTTTCCTCTGCTCCCCAAGGAGGTCTGCAGTCTCCAGCTCAGCTGAAAGGATATCCACAGCACCAGTGTGATCTGACTGAATCATGACTATATCCCCTGCTCCTTGAGGTACATGGTAGTTGGTTATCCGAACAAGAGCTTCCTGCACACAGGACATAAGAAACATTGTCAAAAAGACCATCATGGTAAGAAAGTCTCCAGCTGGATTTAAAACAACTCATTAGTAATTCAGGCATCTTTCTGAAGTGAAGTCAGACCCTGCAGAAGCTTCTGTTAGTTAAAAAGAACTGGCTGGCTCCAAGAAACCTGTCTGCGTTATTGCCCCCACAGCACCAGAGTCATGAACTTGGAAGTCAAATACTGCGTTAGTCTCACAAATTACACACCCCTTAGCCTCCCCAGGAGTCCCTGGGCAGGCAAATCTTTCTATCTGCCGCAGAGTTAATTGGCATCTCTCAACAAAGTAACAGCCTTACAGATTTAGCTGACTGATCTTGGAAAGAATTCCCAAGACACAACCTCTCACAGGAGAGCCTTTCAGCTCTGTGTGCATCTAGGCTACAGCCACAATCAAACTGTTATGCGCTGCGTCCTAGTTAAAAGTCCATCTGGTTCTCTAGGGCCAGCCTTCTCTCCTCATATATGCAAACTCACAGCTCCTGAGCTGGGTGCCACTTGCACAGGTTTTCCTGACTGTATCTGTCATGCAAACGAATGGGCTGCTCACCAAAAGAAACAAAGGATGGCAGAGTAATTTTCACTTCCTTCTTCCATAAATCTAGAAGGAGGGAATTCCCAGAAGCCCCAGACAAGAGGCAGAAGGTGAGAATAACCTTGAAGCCTTAGCGAGCCAAAGACTGCAAGGAAGCGAGGACTAGTGGAAGACACCAGAGGGATTTTGAAAATCAGACTGATAACATTTACCTCCCACTAATGTATAGAAAAAAAAATATAACTGAATCTATGTTGATACTACTTTTGTCTTAACACAACTCTTAAAGCCTCAGTCCCATAGCCGTAAGCACAGCAGTAGGGTGGAAGAACTACTGCTGCACCTCTGTGCTTGCTTTCAGACGTAAGAAACACCCACCTACCTCTTTGAGGGACTGGATTTGGTCAGGCAGCTTCTCTTCTAGCTCAGCCACTTCCTGGTCCTCCAAAGTGCCAGCTTCTCCCTTCGAATCCTCTGTCAAGCCCGCACTCACGAGCGACCCGATCTGCGACCTTTTGGATGAAGAGAGTACTACAACTCAGCATGCACACCCAGGGCACAGCCAGCAGAGGAATCGCTCTGCTCTGGATCTCGAGTTCCAACGGACTGAAAGAAACAAGCCCCTGTGGTCAGCACCTGCCAACTGCACAACAAAGAGCCCTTTGCATCCCAGTCCTGCCGTCACCTCCACATGACTTTCTTCCATGTGAGCCAGAGGGAGCAGCTTCGGTGAGACACTCTGCATTTACCATCGCTTTGACGGCAGTAGTTCACTGCACTCACCCCACAGCATGCTACCTCACCAACACTGTACTAAGTTCAGAAATCAGTAGCAACTTTTCTGTGCAAGAAAGGACAATTTCTTTTATGCCAGATACTACACAACATCTGCATATTCCATCAGAGGTCAACTGGATCAGCAAAAGGGTTCAGAACAGTTTTGACAGCCATCCTGAAAATGCCCTCTATTTAAGTGGCCCATTATGCCTTTCCTATTAGCAATCCCAAGAGACACAGGGAGCACCCAGGTGTCTGTCTGCCACATTCAAATATGCTGCACAGATAATCAAGCTGTAAGACATACAATGGCAGCACAGTAATAGCAAAGAGGTCCAAGTGCTGCACTGTGACAAGAGGAGACAGACATGTGAGAACAAAGAGAGAGGTACGTAGCAGGAAAAGAACGAGCAAGAAAGTAAGTATCTTTGGCATTCATTCTCTGTTGAGGGTTTTCTTCTAAATTGTATTTAAAAAATGCTGCATATTGTCTATAGCTGGAAAGAGTTATCATCCCAAATGAACTCACATGGACGACAGAAGACTGACATACTCTCAGATACTATGTGAAACTGTTGTCCCAAAATTGGTATCATTTACCCAGTGTGCAGTATGCCACTATACAACACAGAGCAGAGGTATTGCCCAATATCAAAACTTCCATGAGAAGCAACCTGGCCTTTAATAAGAATAGAAACAGTTGCCCTTTTGAAAAGCAAAGCCTTCTCACAGCCCTATAAAGCCAATGTCAACCCTCTTGGTCTAAAGGATCAGAAACCTGAGAACATAGCAGTAATGGAAAATATGTGCATTTCCTCAAATATTTCCTTTCAGAAATGAGAAATATTCTCATTAGCAAGGGAGCAGACTACCGGTATAGTGTAGAATAGTTTAAAAAAATTATTTAAAAAAACCTCATACACAGTCCAGACACGTTCCTTGCTGCATCCATAGAGAAGACTAGAACAGGGCAAACGTGGCTTTTGTTTCCAAATCTTTACTCTATGGGGGTACATATTTTATCCAGAAATACAGCCATTTCTTACTTAAATTCTCTCAACAGTGTGATTTCCTTTCCTAGAAATGGCATGATAGACCAGAAGACCTGTAAGAACAACTCAAATTAATACAAAGATACTCAAAATGGCAGCAGATGGACAATATAAGAAAAGAAGGGACACTTGGAGTGGACGGTTTTTTAAGGGAAGAACTCTCACAGTGATCTGTAAGAATTTCTCAACATAGGAGCTAACAGCTTGGGAATTTTTTCCTCCAGGCACCAGCAAAGCCCAAGATCAGGAACAGCTACACAAGCTTTATAAGCAGATTTACAAAGACAGTTTGGACGATTCCACCTCACACAACCCTTTTGGACCACCCCTGTCCCTTTCAAAGGGGATCTAACTTAGACAAATTTATCAGGTAACATCCACAAGTATCCAGCATCTACTTTGGCCATTTTGCTCACAGTCTGTATCGACCTCTTTGAAGAAAATTAGAGGACAATAAACAGATGGAAGAACACCTGTTTGGAGTCAAGAAGGCTGATACAGATGTCATTAGCAGCAAGCCAAGATGGCATCAAACTGCTATTTTAGTAAGTAGGGTGGTTTGTTGGGTTTTCTTCTGGAATTTTTTTTTCTTCTCTTTTTTCAATGAGGCTGTGGTTTACCTGCTGTCTGATGTAATTAATTCACACGTTTCTGAAATTCTATCCTGTGCAACAAATGTATGATGGCAAATGAAACTCCACTCCATATGGTGTCAGTGCTTATAACCGATGCAATGACTCGGCCACAAGCACCACGTGCCCAACAGATAATAACAAGCCAAACATCTGATAACAGGGTCGATCAGCAGCATTAATGAAGGACTGACAGAGAAAACAAAGGGTGAAGAAAAAACCAAAACATTGTCAAGAAAACAGTAAAAAGTGTTTTCTTGCTCGGCTTCCACCAGAATTATAGACAGTGGGAATGTGTAATTTTTAAATTATCCTTCAGACAGAAGAAACCTTGCAGGGTTCCTTCCAAGCTGAATGATTCTGTGATTTGAATAAGTGAGCCATGAACTACACTTCATCATTTCATAAGCTTTAAAACAACCTTAAGTCTGTAAGAACAGCCCCTCCTATACCGATGCCGGTACATACTGTCCCAAAGCAGACAATTCAGCCTCCAGTCCCTTCTGTTCACCTGCACAGAATCAACTGCCATACGGAGGAGGTCACAGGGGCGAAACAGACTGTCACACATGTAGGTCACAATACACAAAAAGATTTTCCTACCCGCTCTGTGAAGTATTGGAGTCCAAAGAATCAACCAGCTGATCTGCAGGCTCTGTCTTTTGGGCTGAGTCTTCATTTTCTAACAACAAACAGAATATACTGAGAGACGGTGAAATAAATTTCGGTCTTTAGAATACACAGACAGGAAGGAAAAAATACAGCCAGCACTCAAACGTTGACAGGGTCACATGACTGTGGAACAAATTGCTGTGCCAACCAGTTTTTCGTGTTATAAGCTGTATCTAGCATCTTGCAGAACAAAGATTTTTTTTTTTTAAATAATCTCAGCCCTAGGAAAGGGAGAACAAAAACGCATGCACATTTTTGGTGCAGAACCACTCTCAGAAGCAGGGTTCGTCCAGGAACCACCAGCCCCAGCTTTAGAAGGGCAGAACAAGGCCAAATTTCATCACGTAAAACTGGGCTGGCAAAGCCCTGGAAAAAGCAATCACGAAGCAGTTCCCGCAGGGCACCGATGAGATGGGAATTCCCAGGTCACTGCTCCAAGGACTGTCTATAAATACGGCTCCTGGTCTCCCCCGGGTCTCCTGAACTCCGGGACAGCTCTGTCCCCGTACGCGCCCCACAGCCCCGCCGTCGGATCGCACTAAGGCGGTGAACTGGGCATGGACGCGCTCCAGCTTTTGCAGCTCTCTGACGGCGGGCCTGACAGCCGCCAAGCGGGGAGGCC